TTAAATTAAGGTTTTCACCCTTAACTGAATTTTCCTTTCTAAAAAAATTTCAAATTAAATCTACTCTTGCCATGCTGGCCCTGCCCCCAGGGTGTGGGGAGATAATGACCGAGACTGGGCATGGTAGTGCATGCCTGTAATCCTGGTGCTTGGGAGGCTGAAAACAGGAAGATCACTATGAGTCACTGTGTAGTAAGACCCTATAGACCTTGTACTAAAATACATTTTTTAAAAAAATCTACTCTTGATGGTTAGATTTTAGTTACATTTCTAAAAAAGTAAAATCCCTTAAGAATTCAAAGATAGAACAATCTTTTTTAAAAACAGTTTTTAGAAAATAGAACTGACACGTAAGTTTCTGATATTGGAAAGCTAAACTGAAGTTATCTTGTGGAATACCTGCCCCAAAGGCAAGCAGCTTTTCTAACTTTAGGAAGGTACGTGTGGAACAGGCAGCTGAACGAATTGTCCCATGATGTATCCACGTCTGTGATGTGAAGGGCTGAAGTGAAACAGAGTTCTCAAACACTTTAATAACACACAGGTTTCCATTCACGATTTGCCTTATGTCAGCCACAAATAACCTCCAGTTTCAAGGCAAAAGCATGAAGCTGCAAATCATGAACACCTCCAAAGCATGCTCCGTTTAGAGCTGGAAGGTGGGGATTTGGGAACAATTTTCAAAGAAAGATTCTTGCATATTAGGAGACCCACTGGCTGGCGCTTAAGCAACAGTCCTCAGGCAGGCACTGCCAAATATATCTGATAGATGTTGTTCCCAGGTTCTGGGAACCACATAAAGCAGAAAGACTGGCTACTAAATCACCCAAGTATGGGCTTAAATTGGAAACATGCATTTTTGTCATCACTGTTCAATGCAATGCAAAGTGGTAAAACGTTCACATTTGTTGGAAGTAGGTTGAAATTTGAAAAGTCATATTCACTCCAGAAGTAAGGACCAATTCACAGTTTGAATCATATTCCTTGAGCAGAAAACCAGGTAAAAGTGGCTAGCTAGCCGTCACCTGAAGGAGCGTCTACACCAAGGTTCAGGGGCCAGTCTTTCTTGGTGATGATGACGGTGCATGATTGTGTCAAAAGGGCTTCAAGGGTAACCGTAAAAGGAAAGACAAAGTAACAAAAACAAAAGCATAATAACAGGACAAGGAGGAAGAACAAAAGAGGGAGGAGGGAGAGGAGAAAAGGGAGGAAAAAGAGGTAAGGGAGGAGGACAGTTTCTATAAAGTGAAGATTTTTTTTTTAAATATCTCAGTTTTGGGGAATCTGAGAAATCTGAGACCTTTCGATGTATTTTCTGGCAACTTTATTGAGAACATAAAAGTGACATGACCATATTAGTTCAGTCTTAGAGGAAAGGGGTTTAATCAGTGGGACTGCCTTCAGGGCAAGCTGAGAAAATAAATCTCTGCATAAAACCCGTTTTATTTGCAAATCCTTATTCAGAAGCATGGGAAGGAAAATTGAGAGGATAGGAGTGTGGCAACAATCACAAGGGTACCGCTGCGCCTCGCTTGTCCCACAGCCGCTCCATTTTAGCTGAACAATAACAGGTGCTGCCTCTTGTGTGCATCCTTGCAATTGCACAGCGTAAGTGAATAATTATCAAAATATGCTTGTGAGATAGAAGTGAGACAGGCATTTTTCAGGTTAGCTCAGGTCACCTTGATGGAACTGATCAGAAATGTAAACCAGTTTGTCTCCAAAGCCTTCTAAAACAATCAAAGTCCCTCTTTCAGAGGGCTACTGGGGGTCGAAAGGAGACCTAACACTGACGTGAGTTCTGTTGGTGTAGCTCTAGCACCGTAGCTAGCGGTCTGGAGAGGATCTCTCATTTCATTTTGGGAATGAAATTTTCATTATAATGCCTTCTAGTTCTGCCTCTCTGCATCATAACTATCACTTTTCACTGCCTCTACTACTAACTTGACTAGGAATGATTCTGGCAAACTCCAGGGCTGGCCTTCTTGCCAGCTCAGAAGGAAGAGGGTCTGTCACACAGTAGTATGTGTGAAGGAGCAAAAAAGGGCCAGGTTGACAGCTGGTGTAAGTTGTGGTCATTTGCCATTTCCTGCTTCTCTCTGTACTTGCGATGGCCGCAGAAGCCACATGCAAGGCCATGTGAAGGTCCTTTCTGTCACTCCTCCTACTGCATACCACATGTGCCTTTCCTGTGGGCTGCTCTGGGCCAGATTCTCCTGTGGGAGGACGCAGGCCAGCTGTGTCCACTTCACACTGGACCCAGAGCCTGCGAACAACTGTGCTAGGAGGAGCCTTAGCACAAGGCAGACCTGCCTTGGAATTTGATAGACTTGGAGAGAAATAAGGCATTCAGTTGAGATATTTTCTTTGTGATATTTACTAGCCTTATTTTAATTATGGTTGGTAAAAAGATAAATACTAAATAATTAAAAAAATAGAGACTAGCTTACGTTGCCTTAGATTGCCCTGTGAGGTGAACGGTTGTATCTCTATTCCCTACAAATATAACAAGCCATCTTATGATAATGATGCTTATTTCTCAAAAGTCTGTGTATCAATTGGGTGTTCCATTCCTTGTGGCAGGTGCATCACTGTACGCCTGTATCCAGCACAGGCTGTGCACAGCAGGCATGGCCAGGCCTCTCTCTCCCCTGGCATTTTTACCCAGGCTCTCTTGCAAGGTGGGGAGCTCAAGGGCACCTTCCAAGAGAGAACAAATAAGCTGCAAACCTCCGGAGCCTGGCCTGCAACCCCTCAGCTTCATTTCTGTGGTGTCCCGTGGGCTCACAGCAGTCACCAGCAAGTGACTCAAGAGGAAGGCTGATAGGTTCTGCCTCCCAAAGAGAGGGTTGGCTGTGCTAATGACATGAAAAGAATTGCTGCATTCATCTTTGAAACTAATCCTAGCACGAATTGCAGGAGACACATGATACAAAAGTTGTGTCATTTATGGTGCAGATGCTAGGCTAGCCTACTTTAAGTGAGGTCTGCCTGTTAAAGATCATTCAGTGCAGAATGGTAACCTCCAGAAGGGTAACCTGGGAGCATTTGTACCATAAAGACATTGGATGTTTTTCTTGTCCAATGACTCAAAAATTTGTCTCACTAGGGCATCTAGTGTTTGAAGTAGCCATATGGCATCATTCATTCATTTATAACTCACAACTTTGCTATACATATATATGTAAATTTATTCCTACACAAAGTCATAAATGAGGTACTACAAGGAGCTAATAGCAGATTAATTAAACATCTTTTTAAAAAACTTTTTAGAATTAAATAATTATTTTTTTTATTCAGTACAGGGCCTTGCTACACAGCTCAGACTATAGTGATCCTTCTGTCTCAGCCTCCCCAGTGCTGAGACCACAAGCATGTGCCATCACACCCAGTTTCAGTGGCCAGCACAGTATGCCCGAGGTTCTGGGGACAGGAGGGCATGTGGTACCAGGATCGAACCCAGGTCCTCGTGTTTGCCAGGCAGGTGCTTAGACTGCTGAGCTATCTCCCTAGCCCCTTAAACATGTTTTTAAACTTAATGATATCACCATTGGAGCTACTTCTTTCTTCCCATTTATGGTCATATCAATAGGATGAACTTACATTATATAATTTTTGTTTTTTTTTTTAAAAAACTCAGCTAGTTTACTTTTTCTTTAAGGAAGAGTGGTTTTTGTCCTTTCCACTTAAACTTCTGTTGAGAAGTTATCATTCTAATGGGATGAAAAAAGTTGTCTCATGGCACACCCCATTAGCAGACAGGAAGAGATAACCTATTTTCTTGAACCTGCACTGAAGGCAATGTTAGAAATATGATGGCGTTTTTGTGCTAAAGAGAATGGTCCAGGACAGTGTGCCAGGGAGGGCAATGAAATAGTGTCCGTTAGTAATTAGGAATGATAAATTTTTCTAGAGCAGATTTAGAAACTTGTACTATTAAAATTGTTGAGCATATACACAAAAATATGTGCACAGATTTCTGTTTTATTTTTACTATACTAGAGTACCTTGTTCCAGCTGTTTCAAAATATATGTAAATATGACAAGTACATGAATAGAAGGCCCAGAATTTCTTCTTCATGCCCTGGAGATAGTCTTGCACACATACCTTAAAGTGTGTTCATCTCACTTTGGGATGCTTGCCTTACGTAATGTCAATGTTGATGCTGGTTTATCAAAAACTAGTCCAAAGAAAAGAGCTTGAGCTCTCACACTTGAGAATTTGAATTATTTTTCTATTGTGATTTCTATGAAGACATTGTTTGGCCTTATGCACTTTATAAAGATTAATGACACTGCATATTGTCAGCTTGAGATGATTCAGTTAAATGATAATAATTCAGAAGGAAATGCATGCTCTGAAGTTACTTTGGTTACATACAATGTCATAAAATGCAAAATAAAACAAAAGTGAACAACCACATTTCAATTTTTATTTGTGATGTTTTGGTCACTTATTAAACCAAAAGTCATTCCCATGGCTTCCTTTGAATCCATGATTGGAATACAAAAGTTTACCTCTCATCACAGTAAATAAACTAAAATTTTTCACCACATGATCAAAGGAGTGAAAAGTGTATCCCCCATCCACACCCCTATCCTACCCCATGAACCCCATAGCTTCTGTTCTTTAAAAACTTGAGTTTGCTTACAAGTGGGAAAACTAAAACATTGTTTCCAAGTTGCAAAGAGTAAAGAGCTTAAATAACAACCACTGTAGCTTTTTCTAAACAGTACTGCTCTCTGGAAGATGTATTTGCTAATTAGGAAGCTAAAATTAATGACACAGATCTACTGCTTTGTGATTGCTAATATAATAAAACAATGGTAACAAGATGAACTACCATACCATATGAAAATCTTTAAGGTGGTGAAATATTTTCCCCAGTTCCAGTGTAACCCCAGGTGGACATGAACAGATCTGTGTATGTATGTCACAAAGGTCCTTGTATGCAAGCATCACATTCACTGCACCTAGATCAGCATCACATTCGCTGCCCCTAGATCAGCCTCTCCATCGCGGGGGGTGGCATCATGCTCCACATTTCCACTCGAGCACCCTCTTTTTCCTGATGGCTGGGGTTGTAGGCTCCCTGAGTTGCCCTCTTGGAGGCGACAATAGAAGCAACCACAGCCAGCAAGAGGACGAGTAGCAGGACTAATGTCACTGAGCCAGTAGCGGTGAGAATGTCCGAGGTCATGTCACCTGCCAACTGAAAGGACTGAAGTAAGTGTGATGTCCGTTCTTCAACAAAGCTATGTGCTCATTATGTCCAGCAGTCTGGAAATACGGTATGAATGTCTACTGAATTTACTTAGTATTATAATCTCAGTGACTGAATTTGTTCATTTGGTAGCAGGGACAGTAAGTCTACCCTGGAATGAAACCGCATCAGATCAAAGTGGTTCTACTCAATACTAGAGGAAGACCAAGTCATTAAAGCAAAGCCATTATTTACCTGCTCACAGCTCCTGTGAAAAATGATCATATGTCCAGCAGTCTGGAAATACGGTATGAATGTCTCCTGAATTAGTATTATAATCTCAGTGGCTGAATTTGTTCATTTGGTAGCAAGGGAAAAAGAGGAACCTTGAAAATTTAAAATCATTCCAAGTTTAAAGAAAGGCACTACTTCCTCTCTTACCTAATATTCTAATTTTAGACACATATACACAAAAAAAATAAATAAATAAAAAAGGAAGAGAGCCAGTCCTAGCCCAGGTCCGGTGAGTGTGTGGAGAGCTTCCTGCTACCCTGCGCCAGCGGGACCAGTCCCAGCCAAGGCGCAGCGTGGGCCAGAACCTCTCCCGCCCCCTCGGGCCGCCCCCCACCCCTCCCGACGAGTAGGAATTTCTGCCAACTTCCGGGAACCCCCAGAAACAGTCCTAGCCCAGGTCCGGTGAGTGTGTGGAGAGCTTCCTGCTACTCTGCGCCGGCGGGACCAGTCCCAGCCCAGGTGCAGCATAGGCAGGACCCTCTCCCACCCCCTCGGGCCACCCCCCAACACTCCACCTTACCTGCCCCACCCCTCCTGCTGAGTAGGAATTTCTGCCGAGTTCCAGGAACCCCCAGACCCAATCCTAGCCCAGGTCCGCAGCGGGAAGGAGCTGAGCACAGCAGCCATACCTAAGC